CTCTCTCCCCCCGCAGGACCTACCCCCGCCCGCACGAGTACCTGGAGGTCTCGGCGCTCCCCGAGAGCTGGGACTGGAGGAACGTGAACGGCGTCAACTACGCCAGCACCACTCGGAACCAGCACATCCCGCAGTACTGCGGGTCCTGCTGGGCCCACGGCAGCACCAGCGCTCTGGCAGGTACGCGGCGCTACTCGGGGCTGGGTGCCGCCTGCTCACCCGCCACGCTCCTGCCTCCAGTGAGCTGGTTTTGTGGGAAGCAAAGGAAGTTCATTGTCTGCTTACAGCAGAGCTGGTGTGAGGAAGAGGTGCCAAATTACTGCAGTGACTAATGCAGCAAAAACCGAGGTTGAGATGTCTGTTGAACATCTCCACACTGGGAACAGCTGGAATTCCCAAGCTGACGGCAAGGAGGTTTGGTCTCAGAACAGAAAGCAATCAGTGAGGCTTCCCCCACCCTCTCAAAAATCATGCAGGTGGGAACACTGGCACGGTTAGAAAGCTGCCTGCAGAAGGAGTGCAGTCAAAGCTCCTGCCAGACTGCTGCTTAGGGCCTGGAGTCACAGAATCTCTTGGGTTCAGAGTCCAGAACTGGGTTTTCCGCCTTCTTCTTGGAGGCGTGGTGATGGTAACAGCAGATACATAAGCAGTTATCATGTCTCCTTCCCTTTTTGGTACCTCAGCCTGCTGTGCTGCATCTGTAGCAGCAAGGGGTTGTTCCAGGGATACCTGGATATGAGGAAACAAAAGAAGTTGCCTCTCCTGGGAAGGGCCCACAGGGTATTAGCTTCAAGAGCACTGTCATGGAAATGAACTGGCTACCACAGCATACAGAGAAATCTAGTTTCAGCAGATATCTATCAGTCTTTTTCTTGGGAAAAGGGAAGTAGGGGTTTGCTTCAGTTGGAGAAGTATTTTCTCTAGAGAATAGATGATGATTTGCATGCAACAGTAACATGCTGCAGGAGTTCTGTTTGCATAGGGAGGCTGCAAGAGGATTAACTGTGAAGGAGAAAGAGAAAACTGTGCAGAAAGAGGAAGACAAAGCAGGTGCATGAGCAGACAGCAAGAATTGTTTAGGATCAGTTCTTAACCAGTGCAGGAACACAGACACGTATGGAGCCTGCCATGATGTAGTGAAGTACTAGGATAGAGAAAACAGCAACTTCTGTTACATAACTGGTTAAAACTTAATTGTGTATGTAGGTATGCCACTATGTGCATCGTTATAAGTGTAAAAGGTTGATTTTAAAAGTCAGGATTTTTTTCTTAACTGCTGTGAATAGTTAAAGCACTCATTCCTTCTCTTGTTGCTGGAAGACTAGGCTGGGATAATGCCTACCAGTTCTGTCAAGGATAGTTGAATGTTGTTAGTACTAATAGGATTAAAAGTACTACAGTGGCATCAGTTAAGACTGTTAAGGCACTGTGAGAAGCAGTTTATAAATACTCATCAGGAAGCTTTTCTGCCAAGTAAGCTAGTTGTTTGACAAAATAAGGCAGCAGGGTGGCAATGCCTGTCTGAGATGGCAGGATAACAGTGAGACGTTGACATAAGTGAGGATATACTTCTGAAAGCTTTTCCTTGCTTTAAATTTGTGAGGACTCTCTCGGAGGCAGAGACCTGGTGTTACGATGTGTATTTGAAAACTCCTTGCTGTCAAAGCCAGGAAACAAATCTGGAAGTTCTCAGAAGCTGTGACCTGAATTAAAAGAGGTCTAGAGCACTTCAGGGCTTTAAACAGATCTTACTCATCTGTATATTTTTGATGAGTTTTCAGTGGAAAATAATTCTAAATGGAAACCCACAATAATGACAACTCAGCCTGCTGGTTTGAGTTAGATCATGCTATGTGCCTCACTGTCCTCAGCAGGGGCTTTTCCAACCACAAGTACTCTGTTGCCTGCAGTTACAGGTTCAATGAAGGAGGCAAGAGTTTTAACACTAGTTGCAACATGTAGCCACCCATGTATTCCACTAATGAAAACCAATTTCTCATCCTTACAGATCGAATCAACATAAAGAGAAAAGGTGCATGGCCTTCTGCCTACCTCTCTGTTCAGAATGTGATTGACTGTGCTAATGCAGGATCCTGTGAAGGTGGAGACCACTCAGGTGTTTGGATGTATGCCCATGACCATGGCATTCCAGATGAGACCTGCAACAACTACCAAGCTAAGGATCAAAGTACGATGCCCATTTGCTTTGCTGTAAGGCTTCATCCCAGGTTTAGAAGATCTTAATATATATATAAAAAAAGAAGTTAGTTTCTGGGTTTTCAGTGTACTGATTCCTGCCTTTCAGTGTAGTATGAGCTGTTTGACTGACAGAACAGGTTTTCTTTACCGGCCTCTCTGTGTCTTCTTAGCCAGACAGCATAGCATTAAATCATGCCCAGACAAGTTTGCACAACTAAATTGTTTAAACTCAATCCCTTAAGTCAGTGATATACAATCTCTAATGTAGTGAAATATTTACAAGTGTCTCCTCAGGATAAACAAAGGAGAAATGTAACCTTTGTCTGGTCATGTATGACTGGAATAATTTCTGTATCTATAGTGACACACATCTGAAACATTTCCTCGGCAAAGCACTTAATGCCTACATAGCAGAGAATAGTAACTAATTATTGCAGAGACTTTAAATGTTGTTTCCAGAAAGGAATTTACTTCACCAGAGAACGTATGTATTAGTAATTAAGTTAGTTAATACCTGCCTCAAATAAGTTAAAAGGAAAAAAAGCTTAGTGTGATATCATTAATTAACTTGAAGAAAAGCATTCTCTTGCAGTGATAATCTCACTTTTGTTTTGTAGAGTGTAAGAAGTTTAACCAGTGTGGAACTTGTGTCACTTTTGGAGAATGCCATGTGATAAAGAACTACACACTCTGGAAAGTTGCTGACTACGGGTCTGTCAGTGGAAGAGAAAAAATGATGGCAGAAATCTATACTAATGGACCAATTAGGTAAAAAAAAAAAAAATGGTAAAAAAGTGTTTATCTATTAGTAATACTGGGACTGAAGTACTTGAAATTAATTCTAATGACTGAAGTGTACTTCTCCACTCTGTCATATGTTAGCAGCTCTCCACTAATGCAGACTTCAGCTTGTTTGTAGATAAATTGAGCTTTGAAGTAAAAAATACAAGAAAACAAATTGGGTTTTTTTAGCTAGGCCCTGCCCTCATCCCCTTGTATAAAAATGCTTTCTCTGTTTTATTACAGCTGTGGCATAATGGCTACTGAAAAGCTGGATGCTTACACTGGGGGACTTTATACAGAGTACAACCCCTCGCCTGCGGTGAATCACATTGTATCTGTGGCTGGCTGGGGCGTAGAAAACGGAACAGAATACTGGATTGTTCGTAACTCATGGGGTGAACCCTGGGTAAGGAAACATGGGAACAAACATGTTTGCAGAATGACTTTAGAGGAAAGGTGAGGTTTTTCCACTTGTGAACAGGAAGCTGTAAAAAGCTAACCTGTAGATAGGAAAAGTAAAACTTTCTCTGGGCTAGACTAGCAATTAAAAAATGAAATGTAATCTGAAGACAAGGATATTCAGCCAAAGTTACCTGACTAATGTCAACTCAATCCCAAATACTACCCTTCCATGGATGTGCAGCTCCTGTTATGGCAGCTGTAAATTACTGTTAGCTGTAGGCAAAAATCAAGTCACATACTTGGGATAGATGAGGGGGATGTAAATTCACCAAGGTAGGCTGCCCTGTTAAACAAGGCTGCCCTGTGAGCCCAGTTATACTTCATCTTGAGTGGATTCCTGCATTCACTTGTAAATCATTCATATTTGGAAGACAGAACAGACTTAACAGCATATATTTTATGTAGTTATGTTTTCTAATTCACAATGCAAATTAATTCTTTACAGGGTGAAAGAGGGTGGCTGAGAATTGTGACAAGTGCATATAAAGGTGGAAGAGGAGCAGAGTACAACCTTGCTATTGAAGAGGACTGTGCATATGGAGATCCTGTACTACCCTGACTATATTGTACACCTTTCTGTTTAGGAACTACTTTGTTTGGAAGCTTCCCAGCACAAACTTTTTCAGTTTAAAGAATAGTAGTCTAAAACACTTTCACAGTTCAACACCATCAGGCAGTTCTGCACAATTAGCCCAGAGAGCAACAGACATCTTCAAAATAAAATAAATACAGAGCTGCCTGTAGATAATTACTTGGAATTTTTAAAAAGTAATTTACCCAAGAAAAAGTTGTCTGCCTTGATGCACAGTATTTAAATCATATTGACTTACTAACAGAAACTGTATATGTAAATCTCTATTTTTTTAAAAAATGCAAATTATGTAGACAAACTGGGAAGGAAAAAGTGTACTCAATATTTGGGTCTAGAGCTTATATTAAATTCTCTGACAGTATTGAGCAAATATCATCTCAACAGTGATGGAGATGAAAAAACAAAGTTAAGTCTGGATATGATATATTTAGACACTAAATCCTGTGGTGTTTCCTTGGCTTCCTGGTAAAATAGTGTTGGTAGTCTCATACAATGCAGTTGCTTTTATCCAACCAAAATGATATAACAGGACAAAAGTCTAAACACTTCTTTTTTTTAATTAGTCTTGCCTTTGCTCAAGTTCCTTGCTTTAATATGTGATCAGCTGTGCCATTTTTCTCCTAAAGAGGTGAAGTATAAATTGCCACAACCCAGAACTCTTCACAAATTTGAAGAAAGGTAGCCAATTCCTTTCCTTAGAGCTGAGCCAGTTACTAAGTGGCAAATCAGTGCATCAATTAACTGGCATTGTTAATTGCATTTAATAAACAGACTTTTTCTCTTACAGGACTGTATGTGTATTATAAGAGTTTTTATGGTTTTGGTTGTCTTCTATTTTTGTACCTAACAAACAGTTTCACATGGCAGATTAGCTACCCAAAGCTTACCCAGGACAGTACTGCTTTCACTGGACTTTCTCTTCTGAAAGGGTTGGTCTATGAACTATGATCCTTCAAACAACAATTCAAGTTAAATTACACTGGGGATTAAGACACAAGCTAGAAGGAAGCATCCAGCTTCAACAAGCAAGGGAAAGAAGAGTCATTCAGATATTGTCAAACATCACTTTTAAGTGTAAATTTCCAAAACCTATCATAAATCAAAACAACCTGTGAATTAAGCCTTACTCAAACCTGTAAGTTAAAGGTTTTTAGGGGTGCAGAGGAGGAAAAAAAAAAAGTGTTTCCAGAAACTGTCTCTATCTGCTACCCCCAACTGGTAGTTTCTGCAACTTACCTGGGCCTTATCTATGAAAGAAAGAAGTCTGTTCCTAATCAGAAGGTAAGTTTGTCTGAACAAAGACCCATAAAAAAAGAGTAAGATGCCTAGTGTCTAGGATGAAGTGTTATTGTGATCATGAGGCTTCAAACAGCACAGCTTTTAGTACTGTTACAGTGAGAACATGTTTTAGACCTGAAGTTAGGCCATATTCCAGTAGGCTAGGAGACTTCAAAGACTGAGTCTTCTGGTTGGCTTTGTACATACAAGAATCATACTCTAATCATTAGCTGTTTATCCCACTCATCCACTATTCAAGCTTACCAGAGCAAAATGACTCCATAGTGCCCATAAGGATTAATTCTGCCAAGCTGCAGTGTACACTGTGACTTAAGTTCCATCGAGGTTATGAACACAGTAGTATGACAGTACTGATCACAGCAGCATGGAAGTTTTAACTAGTTAAAAAATAATCTACGTGGGTAAGTACAGCAGAACATGAGTGTTTAGAGGAAGCAACACCAAGCTTGAATACAGAGGAAAGCAAAAGTATTCTTTGAACAGCTAGCAAATTTGCAACAGACACAGGAACAAATTGCTTTGGATTATCAGTAAAAGATGGTACATGAGGCAGGGCTACATCCTAAAATGAAGAGCTATAGGCTGAATTGTTTTTGCAGTTAATGCCACAAAGAAAGTAAGTCAGGCTACCAAAAGCCAAACTTGTATGTTAATTCTACTTAAAATATGAAAAGAAGGTTTTATACAAGTTTAAATGGTGGGAGTTAGCCAGAATGATAGTACATCTTCTATTCAAAGATATGTAAAGAAGTTCAGAACAGCTTTTACCCTGAAAAGGCTGTGCTGTAAGTTGATTAGAGCACTGTGGAATATATATGTGAGGGACACAGCTGAGCAAGGGGAAGATGCACTCCTTTTTAAAAGGAGTTAGGTATCTATTCAATTGGCTGGTATCCCAAGAATTATCACAGTAGCTTATAGTTCCCATTCATGAATCACTGACAAAAGAGAAGAATAAAGTTATTTCCTTTTTAAATGGACTTAAAATGTCACTGTCTTTTAGAAAGCAGGTTCTTCAGAAAACACGTGCTTGGAAAAGCCCAACAGGCCTGTCTATACCCCTGATATTTAAACAAATAGTATCTGCCTGTACAAAGAGAAATTTGAACAGAAAGAAAGAGGGATCTAAATGAAACTTTGAAAGAAATCTCTGGAAAAGAAAAAACCTTTATTTAAAGGTAAATTATAATCTAGGGTGTATTCCCCACTGTTTGGCATCCACCAGGACATATTAGAGATAAGTATAAAAACCAAGCCATGAGAAGCAGCAATGAAATTCCTACACACATTCATATTTTTTGGTCAGCAGTGGAATTCTGACATGGTAATGAAACTTACCAGTAACATTTGATGCATCTATTTAACAAAAAATAGATTCTGAAAGATAACACACTCACATAGGATTCATCTGTTAATACAAAACTAACTTTGATTGTTACAACTCTACTTGTGTTACACAAAATGTTGTTTGTTTTGGGTTTTTTTACACAGCAGTACATATGTAGGATATTTAGAATTCTAATATAATGCAAAGGTGAGAAAGAGACATTGTCACTTCTCTGCAGCACAGAACTAATCACACAAATTCCTTTTTTACAACATCACGACACCAAAAACCAGAGCATTCAAGATTTAGTCTTCAGAGAACTACCTGCAAAGTGGTTTTTTGTAGGAAGTACCTTCCCCATTCTTCAGGTTTTGCATATCACACAAAAAAATCAGTGATAAATTCAGCAAGTAACCAAAATAGTATTATATGAAATAAATCTATTTCTCTCCTGCTATCCCCTTCAGAATATTCAGATTTATACTGATTTGTGTAGCAACAGAAAATCCTTCAGTATTATTCCATTTTCCAAAGTACATTAACAGTCTTCTGATATGAAGCTCGAGGTCACCATGCAAGTCAATCAAATGCCCTTCATCCCTTTCTTCCTTGTTTTGGTTTGTTGGTTTGGTTTGTGGTGGGGTGTGGGGGTTTCTTGGGGGTTTTTTTCTGCTGTGTTGCCCAGTTATAGAACCTTACTGGTGGAGAGCATGGCAAAGCAGTGATCACGTGCTCTGCGTTCTTGATATTTTCCACTGCTTAGTTCATCATAATAAAGTTAGATTTGCAATGAGCTTAAAAGAAAAAAAATTAAAGAAAGTGTTCAGTACATTACTCTGCTTTATCTGTTTGCCTGTGGCTTTCTATATTATATAACTAATTAGGATTTTAGGTCTGGACAGATGTTTTTGTTTTAGGCTATAAATGCATTATGACAGACTACTTCCCTTCATATCCTTTCCTTACTACAGTGCTAGTTCTCAAAAAGCAGTATTTGTCTCCAAGTTCCTTACTGTTACCCAGACATTCTCGATTAAAGGAAAAATGCTAAATGCAGGCCCCTGAGAGGGAAGTTATCTGTGAAAATATCTGGCAGGCATTCCTATTTTTAGCAATCCTCTTTCTAAACATTATTTACAGATTGTAACAAGTACCAAAGGAAGCAGCTACGCAATGAATAAATGTGACTTACCTATAAATTCAGTGACAGGATCATGTTCTCCTTCTGTTTTAATAGTACCTGCAATACTTTCATTCTCCAAGATTGGAAGAAAGAGCTGTACAAAGTCTGAGGTATATGGAGGAGCAATCACATCCAGCACCTGAAACAGCATACAAAAAAAGGATTATTCTTCCAGTTAGAGGGATAGTAGGAACAATATTTAATTAACATATTAATCTTGAAAACATACAAGTAATTGCACATAAGACCTCTTGTTCTCCATACAAGTGATTGATAAGGTATTCTTGTGGTACCCTACCCAGTACCTTGATACCTTCAGACGTCAGGAGTCAGCAGGACTAAGTCACATCCTAGTGAGTACTGATATTACATACGTTGCTCAAAATCTCATCTCAGATCTTAAAATATTTTTTAATCTGAGGCAAGCTGACTTAATATCCAAACACATACAACTGATGTTAAAGTTTGTATGTTAGTAAACACAACATTTGCTGCTGACCTCTGTAACAAAATATCTGATGAGAGAGAGATCTGTATCTAGCTTCTCCAGGCATTTGCGGATATAGCTGACAACAGGTAGGACGTATCCTCGACTGAGTAAGTGCACCATTCTATCCAAGAGAGTCTTCTTCAATTCCAGCTGATGGCAGGGGTTAGGGGGTGGAGGAGGAGAAGAAACCAACAGATTAGAACTTCCTCTCAGAAGTGTGCGATTTTTATTGCTCATTCTTATTGATTCAATAAGAATCTACTTTTTAACCATGACCATATTCTTAAATTAAACTCTTAAAACTCCTGTGACAGCAAAACCTGTTATCTAGAACAAGCATGACTAACATGAAGGAACACAAACACTGAATCCTTTGAGAATCACCTGCTCCATTACATCAAGCTGCGAATGTTCTGTTTCAAAGAGCTTGACAAGAAGTTGTAGAACTTGGGGATGAAGAAGCTGATGGCACGTACTGATCTGCAAACAAGACAGGAAAGTTAGATCCTCAGAACTCCAATTTAAAAAACAATGCACTAGTCTTCATTAGACAAATTTACATTAATGTTCAGTGCCAGATGTAAATTCTTTTAGAAAAGTATTCCAGTTTCTTTGATGCCTACATTTTCCTAGTGTAAATAATGCTAGGGTGACAGAACCAAATAATTAACTCTGAATAGAACCAGATTAATCTCTGTATATTTACAGACTTACTGAAAATGATAGGCATCCAGTGAACTGGAGGTACTACCAGTTACAAGCATAAAAACTGTTTTTACTCTCCAGCAAGATTTTATATACCTCATCCAATAATGCCAGATGAACTGGAGTGTGATCAGTCTGCAACTGGAAGTACCGTGGTTCTGACACTGTCCAGTCCACCCACTTTAACACACCCATTGCCACCACTGGGAACCTACAAAAACAGAGATCACTTTAGCACAGAAGCACTAAAAAAACCAAAACAAACCAACCAACCAACCAAAAAAACCTCCCAGTAATTTTGTTTTTTAAATACTCTTTCAATACATTCTCATGGTTGCTAGTTTCAGTTTAACTTACAGCAGAATTCAAAAAGGTTAAAAAATTTTGCTTAAAAAGTTGCCAGCACATCAAGAAAGAAAAACAAACAAAAAAGGCTAGAAGAAAATTCTTTCTACTTCTTTCTACAAAGACACTCCCTGCTCAGAATAAAATACAAGAATTAGGCAAAAAAAAGAAATTCATGTGCACTCAAATTTGTTCCAGTTTATTCAATATCTGCTATTTCATACTTTTAAGAGGAGAAGAAAGGACACATCTATTGCTAGGAAAGCTTTGTTAGGAAGACAAAATCTGTCATCTTTTTCCAGTGGCAGAGAAAAGCATGTTCTGTGACACAAGAAAGAAAAGTTGTCAGTGAAAGCCAGAATTTATGTCCTCATGAGAATCCAAAGAGTCAGATGTACAATTTCATAAGCTGCTTTCAGACCACAACTTCACATATTCTACAGTGAGGATGTTCTCACGGAGCAGCCCACAAAGACACTTCCCTTTAGCAGTACTGCCTCTCCTAAACAACATTTTCCTTCCAACAGCTGAAGCTGTCTGCTCACCTGATGCACTGATATAGAGTGCTCAGTTCTGCAACCAACTCGGATGCTCCTTTGTTCTCATTGCAACACAGATTGTGAACAGTTTCAATAGCTTTTGAAGTTGACTTGAGTTCATCCTTGTTTATGCTGACTCTCTTGTTCTGGAAAATTGCAAAGTTTGAATGCAGGAGTTGTGAATGTACAGGATGGCTTTGGTTATTTAAGGAAAGGAATTTTAACCTGCAATAAGCCCAAGATTACATTGTGTTTTTCAAAATTTAGACTCAAATGCAAGTTTCAGAAGAGCCAAGTATCAATGAGCTGAAGTACAAGGATGTTTGCTTTATTTAACTCCCCCAAAATTACTTTATCTATTTCATAGAATTAAATCCTTCTTCCTTGGAAAAAGCATAGGGTTCTAGTAGCACAGAACTGCTACTAATAACCTTTGGGGGGAGGCAGAGGAAGAGAGCAAAAATAGTCAGTGCACTCAAGACTTTTAGAGTACTACTTCACCACCAGAATCTAAATTTTTTTAGTCATTTCAGCTGAAGACAGAAACATTGCATATTAAAATAAGTAAATAAATCTGAATACATTATTTTAAACTGAGCAACTTCACCACCACATTTTCTTCAGCACAGTCAGGCCACTGTAGGTAAAAATAATGTTATTCTCTGAACTGAACATTACCTTTTTCCACATCTCTACTACACTAGCTGCATAAGCCAGTATGTGAATATATTTATGTTTGTGGTCCTGGTTGATCTTAGCACCTGGCTTAAACAATGACTGCATGAAGAGGTCCAGAAAGGCAGGTACTCGAATCTGTGAAGGAAATGAATGGTTTATTAGAGCCTGAGAATTATAAGAGGTGACTAAAAGTAAAATTTTTGCATCTGATATACCTTGCACAGAATGAGATATAACACATTACCTCTATGGATTAGGTTAGACAGCTAGATAGAGTTACATACTATATAGCTAAAGTATCTAAATGCCATCATTTGTTACTAGAACCCACATTAGAACAAGGCAGTGAGAAATTTAAACGTGCCACTTACACCTGCTTATAACAAATTGCAAAACTGGGTGGTTTTTTAAAATTATTTTTTATTTTTGTTAAAAGAAGTTAAATAATTCCTTGCCATCTTTATCTCCTATTGAGAAGTTCTTTAATTAATTTAATTATATGTAAAAATACAATTTAGAATGATTTAAAAAAGCTAATGCAAAATAGACTACAAGTTTCATGTTTAGACATTAACTTAAAATTATAGAGGGATGAGTCTGAGCACTAACTTCTATTTTGTGTTGATACAACACTTAGCATAACAAGACCTCATATTTCTGAGCGCTAATGTAATAAAATTAAGTTTCAGATATTATAAAGATATAACTACTAACCAGTTCTACTGGAGGTGGGTCCATGCTTGTAAACATTTTGAACAGGACAGTGATATCTGCTGGATTCAGAGCTCCTTTGGACAACATTGCACCAAGAGCTTGACACGCTCGAGGGTAAGAGGCCGCAGTACCCAGTGCTAAAGTGATCTGACTTGCATCATGGCCTCTGGATGAAGAGCAAACATACACAGCAACTTATTTTCTTAATTTGGACATACTAGTTCTAGACTCACTGAGTCAACAGGGCACATCCTATAGAATGTAACATCTTAGGGTAGAACCCCTTATCCTGGGTAATTACAGAAGTAGGCCTGTGTTTCTTTTGCTTGTTTTTAAAATGTTTCTAAAATAATAAAAATATATATTTTTTAACAAACAAACTTCAGTTCTTTGCTTTTCTTATTTCAGGTCACCCAGTACAGGATATTGAACTTTTCTGTTGCTCTATGAATTAAAGCTTGCTACAAGAACTGCTCTTTTGCAGCTAAGAATTCTCTTTTTGCTGGTAAAAGGTAATCAAGAATGAGCAAAAGACAGCAGTTTATAAATTCCTTACAGTGACTTACATTTCATTAATAATCTAACTCCCACTTACTTCTCATGAGCGTATCGCTGAACCTCCTGAGCAATCCGTCTGACAGCTGACCCTCCTTGCTCTTCCTGAGCTAATATGGACATCATAGATTGAGCAAAGAGATACGTGTGTTCTCCATGGCACACCATCTTCTGTAAACACACACAGGAAGATACGGCTAAATTGAGAACCTGCGTTTCTTAAATGCCAAAACTGAGAGGAAATTCTATCCTACTTACACTCAGTACTTTCTCTGCAATATTTAAAAAGACAAGTACAAAGCCATTCGAAAGTCATTATGCTATTTCACAACAAAGAACACATGATTCACACGGCAACTTCCACACTGACGTGGATGACAAAAGAATTATTTTAATTTGCCAGGGGACTGGCTAGACTAATCCTTAGATCTTGCATTAAATGTGAAAGATAACAGTTCTACCTTCACCTTTTTACAACACATTTAATAAATATAAGAAGTGCCATATAATGAACCCAAGGAATTCTTGGTGACAGAATGATCAAAAGGCAGAAATTTCTACTTTTGAATCTCTTCTGATTCTGGTATCCTAACTGGAAACCACTATTTTATTTCCACATAAAAAGGAAAAAAAAAACCAACCAACAAACTCACAGCAAACTCAGGGAGGTTTTTTTCAAGGTTTTCTTCTCCTCCATCCAAAATTGTTGCCAGAGATGTACGCAGGACTCTGGAAAATACTTCTAGTTGCTGACATGCTGTTGAAACACTGGTTATTTCTCCTTGATATCCAGCATCAGATATGAGCTATAAAAACAGGAACATCACAGAAAACGTGTATTATTTACATTTATATTTCAGATAGCCTAACAACTCTAGAAGAACAAACAGAATGCAAGATTTGCCTCTGCATACACTTACTGGAATTCACGTTCATCTTTTAGACTACAGAAAAGGAAACCATTAATAACGTAGCAAAAAAAGTAAATGATAATGTAAGAATACTTCAGAGCACACCAAGATATATCACATTCTTTCCCTGTCACAGAAACATACAAAACTGACTGAAATGTTCCACTGCACCAGAAATTCAGAATTTTCAAATACAGATCAAAGAAATTCAAAACAAAACAAAAAACCCACACCAACAAGTCCACACCAACCTCCAACCCCCAACAAAACAAAAACACTCCAGCAAAAAACTCAGAAAGCCGTACTTCAAACTGGGAAACTACACTTAACTACTTGCAACTTGGAACACAGTTCCTCCCACCAATATGTACTTGTACTGTTCTGACACTTGAAGAAGCAGTATGAGCAGGAACACGTAAAAGATACAGGCAAGGCCACAGCCAATACTTGAAGCTCTTTATGGATATTCTCATTTATTAGATTTGAGTGTACTACCTTCACGGTAAAATTAAGCATTAAACAGTCAGGATGGGCTTCTGCCAACTTGTAAAAGAGATCTCGCCATGTTGTATGTGCTATCATTTGCTCAAGCCAGGCTGGAGTCTGAAAAGATCAGAGCCATAGAGAGAAATGTAAGAACATCTAGTTGTCAAGATCATTAACAGTAAGCCTTTTATCTCTCAGGAGTCCTGTGAGTTGTTATGTAGGACTTTACTACAAAGGAGGACGCATTCAAAGTTTCTTAAGTTCTCTAAGCCTCCGAGGACTCCAGTGAAATACAGTTGGTTTTCTTAAAACTAGTTGTTTCTTAATGGAAGAGCTTTGAAGATACAATTTCCCCTTCCCCCACCATCTACTGCTCCATTAGATGGAGGCATCTAGGATCCACTCATGTAAAGACAGCAACACAGACTCCATGCACACCTCTCCTTCCTCTGTAAAGATGGAATCTGCCTTCCGAGGATCAAAATGCTTGATAAGTAAGCTCTTTAAATGGTTTTCTACAGTCTCCTGAACTTGCAGTGGCTCAACACCTGCATAGAAGGAACAAAAAACTTGGCAGATGCAATCCAATCAAACAGCAGCACTATCTTAAATTTTTCAACAAGAACAGAAACTACTCAGAAATTTATCAACGTGCAGAAGATCAGAGGAGAGCCCTCAGTTCTATTATCAAGTCACAAATACAGACAAATTTACAGATGCTCAATCTTTTTTCCTAAATGCAGACTGTTTAGGATCACAAGCAGGTTACACTAGTTGTTTTCTCTTGCTCTCTTCGTCAGTCACACAAACAGCAATGCCAGTCTTCTCACAAGACGGTTACTGGGCACGATACCCAAATTCATGTATCTTAAACACGAAAGGGATTACCAGGGTTGGTGCACAAACCCACCCTACCACAGACTAAAGTCCATCCTTTTAATATATTTGCTATCAGTAGCTTTGATAGTATTCTACAAAACAACGCACAAAGTAGTAATAAGTAGTTCTACATTTCTGAGATCAGACTATAATACTTCTGATAAAGTTTATACTAGCCAAGGGACAAAGATACCACAAGATAATGCTAAACATGTCTTGCAAGAGGCTGCTGAAGAATTCAAAAGCAGACTGGTAATACAGAATTCTCGTATGACAGAATACATCTGTATGAGAACCTTCCATTTAATTGATCCACTGAAAGGGAACACTAACTAGCAATAAGATGATTGAGTTTTCAGCATTAATTATAATGCTATTACAAAATATCAAATATTGCTAATACCAGCTATGTAACAGTACCCTTACCCTTGTGCATGAAAACAAAGAGAAAGTATATTTTACGCAATTGCTTCAACTATATTACTCTTTATAATACAGTTTGTGGGCATTTCAAAATGTTCATCAACAGATCACTTATACTCTGAGCAGAATAAACATATTATTGTGAAGAATTTAGTCACATACATATACAGGCTGATAACTTTACAATTATCCACTCCCTGAGTATGATCAAATTTGCCACCAAGTCAGATATTTCTGACAAAAGAAAGACTACAGACCTAAATTATACTGTAGCACTTATCATACCTGTTTGAATGAGCCATTCTGCCAGCAAATTTACAGTCTGTGCCACTGCAGTGTAGTTTTCAGAGAGGAGCTGGATAACATTCTCTGGAGAACCTCCTGCTTGGAAATATCTGATGAAAGGATTACAAAAGAACTATTTGAAATTCATATTAAAAAGCAAAAACAAATGAACTCTAAATAAAGGGAAAACAATAGCATCATTTATACATTTTCACACACACTTCCATACAAAGTAACACCACTGCACCTATAACACACGTAACACGAACAGTAACACACATAAGGTTACACTCACCTCTTTAACGTGTTAAATATTGACGGCTCCATTATATAGTCTGGGGTTGAAAACTTCTTCAGGCATTCTTGCTGGACTTCAGCATCATCTTCTCCCTCTCCATCCTCATCATCTTGCTATGCGCAAGCACAGTCAAGTCAGACACTTTTCTTGTCCCATTTCTCCCCTACGCTGACATATTTTATCGATTTTTGCCCACAGAAGGTCACACATCTCGGTTCACCACAGCAAGCGACCTGCTCCCCTGACAGATACGACTTCTTACCAAAGAAGGTGCAAAACCAAGCCCGGTCTTACAGTTGTTTTCTTCCTTTTTAACCCCTTCAAGCTCCAGGCCCCACCACAGCGAACACATCCCCGCCCAC